GTCATGCCATTGGCTGATATATGGGGAGCCAGACCCATTATTAGCCAATTGGACTATGACGTGTATTGGAGTGGCCAGGGCTGTGGCCTTGGTCCTAAAATAAAGTCAGAGTTGATTTTTCCTTAAATCTAAGACTCAGTCGTCCTATTGCGAGCTTCCTCAACACTATAGTGTAAGCAAGTAACGGAGTAAATACCTGGCCCGTTACACGGCAAGACCGGGATGTTGGTGTTCGTGAGCAAGATAGTACATCTTGCTCCAGTACCAGTTACCGTCACAGACGAGCAGACGGCGAGGCTGTTCGTCGATGTCGTTTTCCGCTATCACGATCTCCCGGAGACGATTGTCTCGGACCGAGACCCGCAGCGCACGGATGCGGTTTCGGAAAACGCTGTTTCTCTTTACTGTAAACTCGTCTACTGATGTCCACTGCGGACGACCCACAGACAGACGGCAAGCCGGAGGGTCTCAATCTAGTACTCGAAGACACTTTGCGCAGTGCGTACGCGGAAGCTCCAGGTACGTGGCCGACACAGCTTCCGGTTGCTGATTTTGCTCTCAACAACGCGGTGCACGCGTCCACGGATTTCACGCCGTTCTACTTGAATGGCTTCCGTCAGCCAAGAGTGCCTCTCATGCTTCGAGAAGTCAGAACACCCACCATTCTAAGTGAGGTAGAGGCTCGGAAAGTTCTTTCCTCCGAGGCCTCAGACATGAGACCAGTTTCGCTGCGGAAACAAGTGAAATCCTTTGTGGATACCACGCTGAGCGTGATCAGCAGGGTCGGGGACGACAGGGCAGCGGACCAGGACAGACAGAAGGGGTACTCTTACTAACATGGAAGAGGAAACTTAAGTGGGTGAATTAGTGCTATTAGACACGAGGAACCTACGCCTAGACACTGTAAGCGATGTCGACAGCAACAAGCTGAAGTACCGCTTCGTTGAACCGGTCGCTGTCCTGGCCAGGCATGGTGCATCGTACACCATCGACCTGCCCAAGTCAATGGCGTCGCACCGGCCGCTCTACGCTGGCCGTCTTAAGCGGTATCATGATTCGCAGGGGGCTGCTGACTCGCAGACCCATCTGGATCAACCCCTCGAAGCGAAGGCCGGTCACAGCCGTCGACGAGGACGTCGGAGCAGGCACCTAATCCTCGGGCTGAACAGCAAGGCTGCGGTCGAGGCCGTACACCGGAGGGGCCCCGTACGAGCGGACCCCAGAGCCATACGCCGAGTACGTCGGGTACGCACCATACGTGTACGACTGGGAGTGCACCGAATGCGGCTCTGGTCTATGAAGCAGAGCCTCGATACGTCGGATCATGCGGATGGCCTCGTCAAGATCGGAAAAAGAGGCCCGCCGGTCCACCCGCAGATGCAGGTTCGAGACCTCCCGCTCCAACAGGTCCAGGCGGCCGGCAAGACGAGCGAGCACGCCCTTATGCCCGCCCTGGGTGGCAGCATCTCGGCCATTCCCAAAGCCAAGTGCAATTTCAAGCACGAGGGCGCGTTGATGAAGGCGGTCGACCCCAGGGCCGTGTGTCGGACCCGCAGAAGAAGTACGCGGACGAGAGTGGCGTTCGGAAGGCGCCGAGTACTCGTACGAGGGCATTTCCGCCCCTGCTTAACCGGAATGGAGAAGTTCACAACCACGTGCAGCGGATCTTCCAGGAGAAACAGCGTCGCGGTAAGCGTCAGCTCCTAGTGAAGTGGAGGAGTTATGCTCACTCCGAGAACTCGTGGGAGCTGATTGAGCGGCCCCTGATAGACGCCCGAAGGCTGTCGCAATCTAGGAACAGAAGCGGCGGCAGCTTCATTAGTAGTCCGAAGCTTCTTGCCCGAACGGGGTACGGACGTTGACGATACTCCGTTCCCATTCCTACATGGCGCCAGTATCGATCATCAGTGGAGCCACCATTCCTATATGGCGTCAGTATCGATCATCAATGGAGTCACCAAAGGAGAGACGTGTCTCCCGCTGCCTCCTATCGACGGCAACGCCACCAATCTGAGCAATAAAGTGTCTCTACTCGAAGGCTCCATCGTCATCTGGACCAAACAGATCAAAAATGTGCTCAAACAAGACCCCGAGGATTTACTCAAGTAAGGGCTCCACCCAACTCCCGATGCCGAGATTGAGTTCTGGAAGCTCAAAGCTGCCAACCTCAACTCTATTTTCGACCAGCTTCAGTCCAAGAAAGTGCGCAAGATCCTCACAGCTTTGGATCGTACGTATTGCACCACGTTTGCTCGACTGTGTAAATAAAAGGGAGTCTTCACGGCTCGTATCGAGGCCAATGACAACATGAAGTATCTGCGTACGCTGGAGGAATGGTTCATTCGCCTCAACAACGACGAAGACTTTCCAGCTCTTACGGAGCTCTTCAAGCCGATGCTTCACATTATTCTCTTGATATGGAAGAACGCCAAACACCACAACACCCCGGCTCGTCTCGTGGTGCTCATGCGGGAGATCTGCAACTCACTCATTAACCAAGCACGGAAATATCTGAGTGGCGAGTTGATATTTGCTCTTATTGACCAAGATGAAGCTGTACAAGCTGTAGAGCAATTCAAGACGACTCTACAAGTGTATCCGCACTAGAAGCCGCGCGCTTCAGAATGTCCCTTGGCAGCATGCGCTTGCTGACCAAGTGGTCGAACGGTAGACGAAGATCACGCTGGTCCAAGATGCGGGACAGCATCTGTTTTTTTTTCATGGCGTTCCCGTAACTCCGAGGGCGAGTACTTGAGAGACGCAACCCACGCCCAGACCATGTCCTCACACGAGCTCCAGTTGGGACAGCTCCTGGGAAGATTCCAAGGGTAGCCCCAGAGAGAGTAGTTACCACCCCGATTCTCGGGCTTTATACGACAGGTCGTGAAGACCTTCAGAGGGATTCGGTGTGCCGCGAGAAGCATGCACCAGGCCGCCTTCAAGTTGTCGGCGAACAGCGGCTCTTTCAGGATCTGGGAGCGCTCATAAACGCCCTTAGAAGTGTGACCACCGATAAGGTCAGGAGGGGCGACAGGGAACTCCAGAAAAAGGTCAGCCCCAGAGCTCTCCTCGGGAGGCCAATATCCTCTTGAGTTGATGGCAGCTCCCTGGTTGGCGGGTGTCACCACCGGACCCCCGCGCATGCGCTGGGCAGCTTGGAAGTCCTCCAGCTGCTGATCGAGGTCGTTCGTGATCTACCGGGGCTCATGGATAGCACTCTCCTCTTCCTCTTCATCCGAGGAGCCGAAGAGGTTCCGATTGGAGTACCCAGTCTCCTTCTCCTCGCAGAGTGGAGATTTCGAAGCCGTGCGCTTCTTAGAGGGCTTGGCGCCGTCGGGCTTGACGGGCTTGGGACGCGCAAGACCCTCGGCGAGCAAGCGATGTTTGAGCGATTTCTCCCCCTCGTCGCCAGTTTTGGGAGAGCCCTTAGCCTTGACGGCAGGACTCTCATAGCGTACAGACGTCCTGGGGCTGTGATCACCGTGGTCACTAGCGCGCGAGTGCACGCTGTCGTAGTCGTGCTCGCTGGGCACTGGAGTGTGTCATCCAACGGAGCCCACAGGGGCATCGTGAGTGATCCCGGACTCGGCCTCGTTCTCAGTGCCCGAATTGAACTCACGTTCAGCGAGCCGCGAGTTCGGATGGTTATGTGGTGAGACGGAAGGTGACGGGCTGTGGCGTTTGCTTGTACGCTTGCTCGCAGCCGCGTCTCCAAATGCGCTGATCGTCTCCGAGGCCATCTTAGAATCATCCTAAAGTGCAGAGCCTTTGCCGTGAGGCTTAGTGCTCCTGGCTTGCGCCTTTCTAGCGCTTTGGAGCGTGTTTTCGCACCACTCTTTACTGTGCCACGGGTCATGCTAAAGGTCGATGTGGGGACCGAGAAGAAGAGCGCTCAACCGCAGCTCGAGGCTCTAACTGTAAAGTGAGCCTCCACCGCGCTCGCGCAGCCAAGTCGATGTATTTCGACTTTGACATTGACGTACACTTCTTCATTCTGATTGGTCGGTAAACCGAACCTAAGTGGGGGAGGATGTAACGGAGTACGTAGCTCCAAGTGTACCCTTAGTTACATGAAATGTGACACGTCACACTTCGGGATATCCGGTACGTGGTACCAGGATTGTCCGAGGCCAACCATTGGCTAGTGACATTGCTTTTGTAAAGTTGACTCATAGTTTGCTAATATAACTCAAGATTAGCCTACCTATAAATATATTTAGCTTACAACTTCCCTTAAATTGGTCACTTCGCTCCCTTATGCAAAAAGGGACCTGTGAACTGCCGTTCACTGAGAGTTTGTAAGCTCTCGGAAGCCAACTTCCTCTAGCGCAAGGTGCTGTGTGACACCGTCATACCATCTCAGCTAGATAGACAGGGTGTTTGGTGGAAAAATGGAATAGGAGGTTGGAGTAACCGGTTACGGGGCCTGCTTACGAGCTTCATTGCAAACTTTGCAGGTGTAGCCGTCGTCGGGACCATCTCCAAAAACGAAAGCACAGATTTCATCACTCCATGGCATCGTGGAAATGTGAGAGGCGAGCAGAGGCTTGTTGCTTGGTGTCGTAGAGCTAGTAAATAACAGAATGACATGAATCAATAGAGAAACCACGTTTTTACTACCCTGATAGTACTTGAGAGGTGATCAGCTGCATACGGCTGTCTAGACTTCACTACTACTTATTTGGGGTACTTTAATGGGAATTTAAATTCTCTATTTTTTTTAAGCAAACTGCGCTAATAATAAATAGTGTTCTTATTATTGCCGTCAAAGTTATTTTTTCGATTTTTGAATAGCGCTACTGCAAACCTAACCAAAACTGGTTTCTTACAAGCAAGCAGATCGCGGAAATTAAGCGAGCCTTTTGTTCGATATGATGTTTTAGACATTTGACAAACAACTCATCTGTTCACGAATTTGGCATGTGTGAAAACACCATGACTCTCCAACAAATCACGCTTTCAGGACAAGTATAATTTGATCCTGTTACGGAGGCTAAAAAATGAAGAGTGCGCGTAGGTAAGCACGGCGAGCTTCAAAGGTCATCTTCATAACGTTTCAAAGAGGTCTGACGTCATGCAAGAAAACTGCACTGTAAGCAGTCCTGGCTGTCAGAGTTGGATACAAGTAGCGACTCCAAGAATCAAGTGAAGGAAATCCCTTTTTGTAGATAAAGCAGCAAGAATTTCATCGGCAAAATGAAATGTTAATTGTATACAGGTCGGGATAAATATATTTTAGAAAGTGACTTTTAAATAGTATTTCATTTTGAAAAAGCAATTAAGTCATCTATAATTCTAGTACTTTTTAGCTTAGAAAGAAGAAAAAGATTATTCTGCGCTGAAAGGTAAACAAAAAGCAATGATGCTTTGCAGGTACTGCACTTTCAACAACTCCACAAGTAAAGGCTACGCCACTTTTGATTTCGGAACTCAGGCATGACTTGGGCAAAACTGTGTTCCATTGCCGCACTGTTTACTCTACACGTAATAATGGTGTCTGCAGACGCAGCTTCACTAACCGACGCACCGTCCGTAAAACTCCATGTCACTTCTGTTAGAATGAACGCTGTAGAGTAGCTCTCAAAACAGTTTATTTACTTTTACTCTTAACTACCTATTCTCTAGACTTGTGCTCAGTCTTGAGGCAGAAGAAGAAGCGAGCTCGTCCTCGGACTGACGGCATCTCTCCCTTCTGCCTTCAAGTCCTGATCGCACTGGTTGGCAGACAGCCTCTGCCTGCTGGTGCACTCTATCCAAGTGCTCGTAGGATCTGTTTTACTCTAGTACTTCTTATTGCTTTAATGAAAGTAAGTCTTTTATTGTGTTGACACACTTATCTGTCTGGCCTCTACCGACTCTTCGCCGCCTTCGGCGACTCGGCGTCTGATCGCCATGCTGGCCAATAACTTCCACACGGGCAGTCTGAATTCGACATTTTCGCCAACCCAGTCGTGTCAGCAAATGGTGTTGCTGTGTTGTACGATGGCTACGCGACTTTTAAGGAGGAAGGCAACACCTTCACTTATTCCTACGTAAACGGGGTCGGCAACTTGTCAACGAATGGAGATAAGGAAAACATCCAGTGTGTTCCATCATCTACGTTTCCATTTAACGCCATCCTACCTGCACTGAACGATGCGACGCCCATTTCAAGTGCGTCAATCGGCGACGAAGCGGTCGAGTGCGCGAGTGGAAACCTGTTTAAAACAACGTTTGCTGGAGTCCACTTTGCTATCTGCGTGACAGGCGAGTCTGAATTTATTGCATACAGCAGTGACTTCACGATCGACGTCGAGTATTTGGAGAAACCTGTAAAGATTCCGAGGACAGAAGAAGCCACTTGTACTGCCGTGGCTACACTGACATCTTTGACTCCAACAGCGTTAGCACTTATAACTGGAGGGATCATCCCGACGTGTATTAATAACACGAGACTGCTCAAGGTTGCAGAGCACATGTCGATGGAAGCGTCTTCGTGTAAGTGTAAGTCTACGCCTCGTCCGTGCATCTTCTTCCACGGAATTGGCAACGCGCACAAAGAAAGCGGGCGGTAGGATGGGGAACATGAACAGACACGCTCCTTGCTGTTCTACCGTGAAGTACGCCATCTTGAACACCATGGACAACAGCTGGACAAACAACACTTTGCAAAACAAATTCTGCGACCGAGCACTCCGATTTAGCGACATCAGTCACGTGAAAGCAGGGAGAATTACAGACACTGTTATCATCACACATTCGATGGCTGGACTTGTCATGTCGATGGCCATAGCAACCGGTAAATGCAATTTCGGTAAAGGCTCGACATGGGTGGCTTTGAGTTCTCCTATATGGCTTCGGACTATTTCCAAGACTTTTGCAGCGATGAAGTCAGCGAAATGGCTACAAATTTATTGGATCTCATGGGCCAATGCCCCATGCCGAAAGCTCGACAATCTATTATGTATCAGAACGACAAATACGCGTCCAAGAAGCTCAATGCAGCGTATGTTACCGCTCAAAAGTCGTACCGAGAGAACATTGATGCTGCAATGTGCAGTGACAATCCTCGCGGTGTAATCTCCTTGTACCAGTCCATGATGCTTGTGGCTGCAGACGTTATCCCACACAAGTCGCCACAGAACGACGGTCTCGTGGAGTTCCAGAGCTGTGCTAAAGGTCTGGAAAAGTCCAAGTTTGGCTCGAGCTACAAGGATACGTTCTACAAACCGCAACTGAACCACGCAGACACAGTATTCCTGACGAGCGACGGGTGGTTCAAGGATTCCCAGAAGCCAGCGAAATGGTTCAAATGCTTGTTGTAGAATACAATACATGAAATTCTGTAGTCGTTGCTGCTCAATTGTTTTATATATTTCCAACATGTTAGCTGTTACTACTCATAAGTAGTTGCCAACCTTCAGAGCAAGCATTCAAACCACGTCACAGGGCGCACAGTGGTCTTAAAAATTCCATCTCCCGTTTTGAACGCCGTGTCCGCGTGGTTGAGCTCGCATCGGTAGAACCGATCGTAGGGTGTTTTCCCGAACTTAGAGGGCGCCATCCCTCCCGCACAACTGTGGAACTCGACCAGTCCGTCGTTCTTTAGCGACTTGTGCGGGATGACTCGGCCTCCTACCATGTACTTTGCTTGGTACTTGGAAATGTTGCCGACGGACGAACTACTGCACATGGCAGCGTAGACGCGCTTGCGGTACACTCTCTGAGCCGCGTCGTACGCCTCATCGTGCTCCTTAGTGCTGTATTTCTCGTTTTTATAAGCCACAGACGCCGTGGACCGTGGTACGGGACATCTCCCGTCGAACAGCAAGTCCGACATGAGGTTACGAACCTCCCCGTTGCAGAAGTCCATGAGATAATCGGACGACATACTGCCGGTCATTGGAGGACTCAGTCCGATCCACGTCGAGCTTTTATCAAGACTACACTTTTTGTTAGCAAGTGCACCCGCGAACATCAGTCCGCCCATGGAGTGGGTCACTACGATCGTGTCTTTAATTTTATTCGAACCCAAGTCAGAACTTGGCGACATGGACAGCGCGCGGTCACAGACTTTCTTTTGGAGGGAACCGTCGGTCCACGCGAAGTCGACTGTGTTCAGTGCCGCATACTTGATCGTAGTACAACACGGAGCGTGATCATTGATGATATCCCAGCCAAAGTGACGAGAAGAGTCTTGCACGGTCGGTTCGTCCTTCTCATTCCCCAAACCGTGGTAGAAGATACACGGACGAGGGGTCGATTTACACGAACAAGTCGACTGAATTGCCATGTGGGACTCTGTTTTGAGCTTTCTTCGATCATTGACGGGGAGTTCGTCTCCACTTAACAGCGCGAGTGCTGTAGCCGTCATTTCTGTGGGCTCTGCTAAGACACCGCACGTCGATCCGTCCTCCAGTTTTATCGGTGGGATACTTACAGGAGCGTCGAGATAATCCACGTCAATAGTCACATCGCTAGCAATCGCAGTGAAGCCAGAGTCATCTGATACACAGATTGCGTAGTGAATCCCCGCAAACGAAGTCTTGAATAGGTTCCCACTCTCGCACTCGATTGGAGCGCTACCAATTGAGGCACTTGGTATGGGTGTTGCATCGTTTACCGCAGGGAGGATAGCATCAAACGGAAGTGTGCTGGGAGGAATACAATCAACGGTGGGGGCATCCGACGAGCTGTCGTTTGTCATTAAGTAAGGGGCACCATCCACTAGCGCGTACGTGAACCGCGAGTGGCCCTCGACGAACGTCGCATAGCCGTCGTAACGCACTCGAAGCCCGTCAGCAGACACCACGGGGTTGGCGAAGACGTTAAACTCGAATGCTCCATGGAGCTCCAAGGCCTTCCGCTGAAGCGTCACATGGAGTTTCAAGGACGGCAAGTCGGACAGCGATGTCTTGAGATGGCGAGCATCATGAGCAGCTGTGGACGCTGTAAAGGTGGACAGCAAGGTGAAAACAGCAGCACCTACGGCTCGCACGAACCCTCTCCTCATCTTGCCAGCGTATGGGGAAGCGTGACGAAACCAAGTCTGCAGCCGACGAGTGCTTCAGCCCCCGACAGTATGAAGCCACGTTTCCTGTCTGGTGTCCGGACCTGTGCCGTAGCTTACGGGAATTCCCTGATTCCATGCTGATCCCGGTGCAGCGATTTGTGGCGTTCTTTGAATGTACAGTACTTCGCATCGATTGGTGCTCGACTGCAAGCATATCTGCATAGACGGGAGAGCAAAGCATGAAAGGAAATCTTAAACTGGTACTTGTACTGCTCAGCATATGTCGGAGTTCGAGTGAACATGTGCACACATCCTTCTTGCAGACCCCACCGAAGCTAGATTTTGGTTTATATAAGTACCTCGAAGTAAAAAAGAAGGCCACCCTCGCCATGGAGATATATGCAAACAACTCGGACAGCAATAGCGCTATAATAGCTTGAGACTTGTCTAAAAAACAACACACTTTGTACTGTATCGAGTTAAATCAAATTCTGCTTACTTTATTGTTTACTTTGCTAAACATAACTTGAATCCGAAAACAAGGGTCTAAAATGTTTTATTAGGGTTAAACTTTTATTTCAGAAATGCAAAAGTTGCAAAAAGTGCATTTGGGTAAGAACAATATTAAGGCAGCATATAATGAAGGTGTACATAACAGAGTGAATTACATGTACATCATTATAAGTTGCTACTTTAGTTGCAATTTGAACTAGCTTATCCTCAAGTTGTTAGCGATCTTGCAGAGGGCGCTCACTTGCATTGGGAAGGGCTAACCTTTTCAGCCGCATGAGCCACGGATAACAGGGGGAGGGAAAACAATAAAAAGAAATCGATTTACTAGGAGCTCATCTGCAACTGGCGGCATAGTATAACACGAATTTGACCCTGCCGCCGTGTGCACTGGTCTTGCCACTCGCCCTACATATCGGCTGTCTTTTCACATGTTGTTAAAGCGGCTTACCCCGTTTCAAGCTTCAAAATGGCCAATTTTTTTTCTTCAAAAAATATGACTTTGTTAGATTTTTGTAACTTTTTCTTATAAGTTTCAAAAACTTCTTCTTCTTGCAGCTTGGCGTAATACTAGTATATGGCTGCCAATGCTGTACATGTAGTCGAGGTGCATGACGACATAAGAGATCCAGCACTACTCACAGTCATCTTGATGCAGAATTGAAGCCAGAGTCCTTGCTTCTTGACTCAAGGGAGCCGGAAATTCAGATTATCCAGATACCGTCAATTGATTTGCAAGTGTCAACACTTTATCGAATTGACCCATATAAAATGGACCAGCACATCCGAGCATCGGTGCTCATTAACATCCAGAGGGATCAAACTCGAGAAAAGTCTGTTGTCCGTCTCGCACATTGGTCCAACGATGGCAGTGGTAAAAGCTGTTCGAACGCACAAGCCCGTTTGTACCAGCGAGTCAGTCAAGAGGCTCAACTCGATAACGCTCATTGATAGTTTTCCATTGACAAGACATCAGTTGTGAGAGAATACTTGCGTCGATGAGAGTTTTGTTCACCTCCATCGCCATCGCTCTGCTTGGTCTCGCGCACGCGACCCCACTGAACGATGCTCCGTCCGTAAAGCTCCATGTCACATTCAAGCGCAAGTCCATGAAACTCCACGGACAATCCGAGTTTGACATCTACGCCTCTCCTGTTGTGTCAGCCGACGGGACCAGTGTGCTCTACAACAGCTACACGACGTTCCACGACGACGACTCCGAGCTCACGTACACTCTAGTTGATGGATCAGTCTATCTGACGACGACAGATGCCTCTGATGCTGAAACCGTTCGGTGCCTCCCGTCCAACACTCTGCCGTTCGACGAGATTCTACCTGCTCTCAACAGCGTCACACCCATCCCCAGTGCCTCAATAGGCGACAAGTCTGTCGAGTGTCAGAGTGGCAACCTCTTCAAGACGACGTTCGGTGGATCTCACTATGCTATTTGCACGTCTGGTAAGGCTGGGTTTACCGCGTATAGTAGCGATTTAGACATCGACGTCGAGTATCTAGACGGCCCCGTCAGCGTCTCCAAGCCTGACTTGACGGATGGCTCTACGTCGTGTGAAATCGTTCAGACGGCTACATCCCTAACGCCAACAGCGCTGGCTTTGGCAACTGGTAGCGAGGTCCCTACAAAGACGTTGAGGAAACTTAAACAAGCGGCTCACATGGCGATGGAGGCGACAGAGTGTGATACGTGTCTGACCACACCTCGTCCGTGCATCTTTCTGCACGGTTTGGGGAACCCAAACGAAGAAGCACAATTGCAAGACAGCCCGAAGCTCACAAAGAGGAAATATGGTGACATGCACGGCCACGCTCCTTGCTGCTCCGAGATCAAGTACGCTGTCCTTAATACGAATGACGCAGGTTGGAGAAATGACACTCTCCAACAGAGGTTCTGCGACCTCTCGCTCTCGATGAGTAGTACCAGTGACGTCGCTGCTAAGGTCATCGACAATACTATTATCGTGACACACTCGATGGGCGGACTCGTGATGGCTCACGCTCTCGCTAAGGGCAAATGCAGCTTCAGCAAGACGACGTCGTGGGTGGCTCTGAGCCCCCCGATGTTGGGCAGTATGGCTTCGGACTATCTTATGGACATCTGCGACGAGAACAACGACATCGCTGCGGGATTATTCGAGATAGTGGGACAGTGTCCCATGCCAAAGTCCCGCAAGTCTACCACTTACTTTGGCGGAAAGCACACGTCTCCGTCCATTGACGCTGCCTATGTGGCCGCTCAGGATGCGTATCGTAACAATGTTGCAGCAGCGATGTGCAGCGATAGCTTCGTCGGACTCCTTTCAACCTACCAAGTTCCGTGCATTTTTGCTGGCACTGTCGTTCCTCACAAGTCCAAGAAGAACGACGGGCTTGTCGAGTTTCAGAGCTGCTTGGGCGGCCTCGACGAGAACCTCTTTGGCAACCACTACTTGGATCGATTCTACAGACCCCAGCTGAACCACGCAGATACGGCATTTCTCACGGGCGAGGGCATCCTTAAGAACTCCCAGAAGCCACACAAGTGGTTTGAATGTCTAGCACTATAGACTGGAGTATGGCACGGATACCTAACTGTAAGTACATGTAACATTTGCAAGGTGTCTAAAGCAAAGAACGATAACCATTGTACACACAAAACGACGCGTTTGTGACGGGAATTACTACGCAGACTTATGCTGTAGTATTTACTGTCAAAGATCCTTGCTGTATTTCCGTAAATGTTGGCTCTAGCAGATTTTTATTTTAAGTTCACGAGTCTTTAGCGTCCTCTAATCGGACTCTGTCTTCTTCAAACCCGAGAGCAAGTTTCTTCTCCAAGTACGGCAACACCCATCTCCAACTTGCAAATAGTAAAGTCACCAGCCACGCGATGAGGACCAACGTGTCTCTGGGGAAGGCTTCGAGCAGCACTTCCTCCACCACAATATCGAACACACATTCCGTCATTTCTAGCGTGGAATCTGGATGTCGAACGCCTTCAACCTCGGCCAGGAGTGAAAATTCCACTTCGATCGCTCCCCCTGATGGCTCCAGACGGTATCGTACTGACTCGTGCGTCTCCATTTCTGTCGGGTGGAGTCGAAGTTTCGCTGTGTTTAACACTCGTCTACGAGGCGGCATGGGCGTATTTTTCGCGAAGTTTGTAGCGTCAAAGTCATTATTGCTTGCAACTGGTAGCGGCAGCAGCACTCGCTCCACCTGCAGCGCAAAGATCGACGGCTGTGTCGATGGGTATGACACTTTTATATCGTAAACTGTGGCAGGCTGCAGCTCCGAGACACGGAAGAGCTGCGGGACGCCGTACAGCACGCTCTGTGATGCCAGTGGGGACTCTGGGCGCAGATCGATCACAGGCAATGTCGGTGTAGAGGTAGAGGTGGCGGCCAAGAAGGCCAGGACAGCGAGGAGGAACATCATTGTCAAAATTAACACTTTTCATAAACTCAAAAATATGTCGCTAAACTTACCAGTACTCTTTCAAAATATCCTTCCAATAGTAATATCCAAGTTTGGGAGCTCTTCCCTGGTTTAAATTTCGATACAATTTATTTTTGACAAGGTTTGCTTAAAATAAATACAAAAATTGGACAACAATACCCAATTAAGAAGTAATAGTGAAGTAAAGACAGCCGTACGCTGTCGTCGTGGACCATCCATCTCGCAGTGCTTTCATACCAGTTTAAACGTGGTTTCTAGATTAATTCTTGTCATTATGTTATTCAGTAGCTGTACGACACCGCACAACAAGCCTCTGTTCGCCTCTCACCTTTCCACGATGGCGTCAAGTGCTAAAATCTGCGCTTTCGTTTCTGAAGAAGGTCCCGACTACGGCTACACCTGCAAAGTTTGCAATGGAGGTCGTAAGCAGGCCCCGCAACCGGCTACTCCAACCTTTTATTCCATTTGCCACCAAACACCCTGACTTTCTAGCTGAGATGGTGACCGCCCAGCGCCCAGAGTGCGGGTCCATCGAGTCGTTCGGGTTCGTTTAAGCACACTGAAGTCCGAGATCGAGATGGATGAGATCGTCCACGATGAGGAAGACTGGTAATATACAAGATTATTGACTATGTCGATGCTGGTTACATTGTGGTAAAACACATGCCGTCTAAGGCCATGCCTGCTGATGCCTTAACCAAGCCATTGGGTAAAAGCAAATTTTGCCATCATCGAAAGCAACTCGGTGCCGAATGCCTGTGTACTCAAGTCGATGAAAATACAGATGAAGAACCAGAACAACAATCCGGCCCAGATGACGCTCAAACCATCTAAGGAAGACTTCAAGTTTCGGGGGAGTATGAGATCTGGACGGCACAGTCTCAGAAACTAGATGTCTTTTTAATATTGGTAGTCACTCGCCCGTTAGATACTTGGTTGACATTTTTATTTCTAGCGGAGTCCACCAAGTGTGGAGCTCCAGTAATTCCCAATCTGCCAAGTGTGGGGCGAGTATTGTGTTGACGCTTACTTCTTCCGTCGTGCTCACTGCCCAGACATCGTACGCGACCTCTGCAAGTGAATGAGTAGCAGACGCTCGCTGTTACATTCCCTGTGATCGATCTACGCCCAGAGTCCCCACTGGCATCAAAGGGCGTGCAGAACGGCGTCCCACAGTTATTCCGTGTCTCGGAGCTGCAGCCCGCCACAGCTTACGATATATAGTGCCATACCCATCCACACAGCCGTCGATCTTTGCGCTGCATGTGGAGCGAGTGCTGCTGCCGCTACCAGTTGCAAGCAATAATGACTTTGACGTTACAAACTTCGCGAAAATTACGCCCATGCCGCCTCGTAGACGAGTGTTAACCCTTTAACCACTGGCTCATTTACGGGTTCCTATAGACCCATAACAGACGGTAATCTAAGCCGCGTATTGGCTGAAAATCTGTCCAGTTGCGCGACAGGCGATCGTGCGTCGCCGTAGAGGTCCATACAGACCTCTTCCACGAGTTAGCCGGGCCATCAAATTCTGTCCGCTTTGGACCACAAGCAGCGATATAAGCGTCACTAAGGTTTTCTCCTTCCCTCTACCACGGAAACAATGGACAGCGCTTTGGCCGGAGATTGGGAAGCACTGGAGCATCAGCAAGCGTACTGCATTGATGACATTGCGATGGACTCCCTCGTGGACGCGTGGGAAACGCTAGAGGACGACGAGCTGCACATCGAGCCCGTCGACTTGCAGGACGCCACGAGTGTACTCACGTCGAATGGCTACCAGCAGCTTCCTAAAGATAGCCTTCAACCTTCAAGCCCAACACATCAACACGCCAGCACCTCCAGCAGATGCCTAGACGGACCCTCGCAGTAGCAGCATGCAGGGGCTTCTCCAGTCGACAAGCAACCCCAAAGTCAGCTCACAGCAGGGCGAAACAAGCGGAGAGCAGCAGCAGATACCGGCGGAGACAGCCCGTAGCAGTGTGCCAAGCATCTATGAGCCTAGTCGTTATGGCAGAGCCTACATGGCTGCACTGGACATGCAGAGTGGGCTCCATGTCGTTGCTGACGCAACGGTGGCGAAAGCCTACCGTGAAAACGCTGAATACGGATTGTTTGCCCTATTTGTGACGGCCACGTTTTGCCACAGTCTCCTGACCTGGACATCGGATGTTCTTACTGCCAGCCAAAACTTACTGAGAGTGAATTCAATGCATATTGCGGGCTTGAAATCGCAATAAGTATTTGTTCGCTGAGTGATATTGCTGAGTAATGGTCTGACAGTCGTTTTCTTGGTCAAGCTGCCTTTATAGATACTATGCCGAGGACGAGATTTCAAAATATCCGATCCGCGTTACAGTTACACCCTCCTAACGACCCGACACTCGATAAGCAACATGATCCATTGTGGCACAGCAGGTTGATACTGGCACACTTTCAAAAACGATTCGCCGAGTTTGCTGTGCCTACTGGAGTGAGCAGCATTGATGGAATGACGGTGGCGGCCAAGGCAAGGTCGAAAGCCCGGACTTATATGCCGTCCAAGCCCGACAAGTACGGAGTGCGTTTCTACGCAGTGGTCGGTTGGGACTCGCTTTACGTGCATACGTTCTGGGACAACTCCTTGGGCAATTCACAGACAACTACGCCAACACAGCGATACGTTCAGCAGTTTCCATCACTTCGCACGCCGCTTTTCAACACGCTGCGTCGCGATGAAGTTGCCGTGGGAGTTGATTCAGCGACGGCGTTGTGGCTAGCAATGGTGGGGCATCAGGCAAAGATTTTCCTATCACCAAGTGGTTATCGGCTTACAGTTTCGGGCAACTTTTATACACGACACACGTTTGCTAAAGCTATACTTGCGTTCACGGATTGCGAGATGCATACGATCGGCACCGTCCGGATCAACCTAATCGAAAAAGTGGAACAAAATAGCTGTGGAGGCTTCTGTGGAGCGAGTGGCAAAAGCAGATAGAGGAGAATGGGAACTTGTAGCGGCAGTCGATGTAGAGTCTGGCTGGAAGAAAAAAGAAGCAGCTCGTCAGAAAACACAGAGAAATTTGCCAGCAGCACGCCAAACAAAGTACCAACCAACTTTGCAGTTTGCGGACCGAGCTGGATATGGTGTATACAAAGATCGCAAGGTGGTAGTCTTCTACAGTAACGACCTACGCGCAACACCATCGGCTCGGACACTACCTGGTACTTCTGATGAGGCGATAGCTTGCTGGCACGGCCTGTAGCCCATTCAGCGATGGACCGACGACCGTGTACTGCACCGAAAACTATTCATGGCCCCCACTATCATTGCCGTTTACAATCGGTACATGAACGGCGTTGACCGTGTCGATCAATTGCGCTCAACGAATCCAAACAGACGCCGCAAGAAGAGGCTTGACATGACATTATTTACGTAGATGCTGGATAAGGCTACAAACAATGATTTTGCGCTTTTGAAGCGTACGAAAACGACAGCCTTGACACTACGCGAGCTCAAAAGAAGAATTGCGGACACTCTGACGGGCAATGAGAAAGCGCTTCGGCGTCAACAACTTCGACGCAAGAAGAAACGCCAGCACGAAACCGTGGATGACGTTGTGGGAGCGGACGCGTCGTTGCATATTATCACACCCAACTCGACCAAGCACAGCAACGGCAAGCTCACGTGCTATCTGTGCAGTCTTAGAGGGATGGCAAAAAAAGGAAGATATGGATGCACCAAATCTGAACGTGGGTTACACGTAGAGTGTTTTAGCGCATTCCATTACTAAGACGTCTTCAAAGCGCGTTCGCACGGAGTTCGCGATGTGCTGGACGCGGTTTGCAGCGCAATGACCGATGCCCCTATAGCATTTACACGGAAACGAGCCAATAAGTCAATCACAGGCGCAGAATCACTAACGCTACCTTCAGCTTCATAATATATTCACCTTCTCGGCGTCCGGCCAAACTGTGTGCAATTGTCGTTTGACACACTCGGGTACGTCCCCTTGCATGCTTCCACTTTTCAAGTACAGATACAATCGGCACAGTGCCTGGCGGACAGCACCGTTCCCTCGCCGTCTCCGCGACAGCTTGACTTGGAGGCGACACCCGGCCTCCTGAAGCTCGAAGCCGTACCGCTTCCAGCCACACACAGGTGCTCCGCACCAATCGCACATAACCTCCGCTTCGTCCATGGTGTGGAGACTGAGGTAATGCAAATTTGAGGGTGATTTTGCTGTAAGAGGTTGCGGCTCTTTCCTGCGCTCTCACGATTGGTTCAAAAATTCAAAATTCCATGCTTTCATTGGTTCTAGTAGAGGTCTCTGCGGACCCCTAAAACTGGCCTGGTAGTTAAAGGGTTAAACACAGCGAAGCTTCGACTCCACCCGACAGAAATGGAGACGCACGAGTCAGTACGATACCGTCTGGAGCCATCAGGGGGAGCGATCGAAGTGGAATTTTCACTCCTGGTCGAGGTTTGAAGGCGTTCGACATCCAGATTCCACGCTAAAAATGACGGAATGCGTGCTCGATATTGTGGTGGAGGAAGTGCTGTTCGAAGCCTTCCCCAGAGACACGTTGGTGCTCATCGCGTGGCTGGTGACTTTACTATTTGCAAGTTGGAGATGGGTGTTGCCGTACTTGGAGAAGAAACTTGCTCTCGGGTTTGAAAAAGACAGAGTCCGATTAGAGGACGCTAAAGACTCGTGAGCTTACTTTTTTTGCTAAGGGCCATGCCGAACCGGGCGTTGATCGTGCCATCCGTGCCATAGGGGTAGGGATCAATTCAGGTGCCATTTTCTTCATGCCGAACCGAAATCGGTTCGTGCCACCGTGCGTGCCATGCAGATTTCGTCGAGCAGCAACTTCTCCCATACGCAGCTTCGCAGCACACAAATGACTCGCTCTCGCGCTCGTAGCGGAAGGCCGCTGTGTTGCGGTGGGCACTAAGCACCATTTTGTGATTTCAAGTGGAGCGTTAAGGCCTGCGC